ATAAGTTTTCTTTAGTTTTTTATTTCTTTCATATCGGTCATTTAAAATTCCAATTATATTTATCATTTATACAAAGAAATGAGTAGAAGAAAAGATGAGTCTCATAACGAAACTAGCAATCAAGTGTTCACTTGAACTGTGTATATTTCAGTTACCTTGTTTTTTATTCAATCTAGTACAAATAAGGGTTAATGAATTACGTGTTTTATACAGTAGACTATACTTGCACAGGAAACACTATGAAAACCAAGGTAAAACTGTCAAATAAAGCATCAGTTACTATGTAGTTTATTTTCTATTGTCTTCCCTGTAAAAATACGTATTATTTATCTGACCTAATGAACTAAACTCTTTCCTTAAATATAGATGATAAATAAACAAATCCTTGATTATTATTTTCTGCTTGAATTCATTGAATTTGATCTTTCCATCATGTTAGAATATTTTCTTAAAAGAGATGTATGAAACTGAATTGAATCTGTCAAAGAGAATTACAGTTAAATATAAAGCTTGCTGACGAGTGCCGTTTAGTACGAAATCTGGGTCCAGGTCTATCTACTGACTACCTGCAACTATCCAGAATATTGATTTATAAGATAGGGATCACGATATTTTACTTACTGTGTCGTATTAATGTAGTCTGATAGGATTTCATGATTAGTTTATTCTTTTGAACATTAAAAATAAATGTGTCCATGTGAAATATAATTTCACACATTTTAATGATAAATCTTGGTGTACTTATTGCACAGTGAATATTTCAAACCAATATTTCTATTAAAGTAATTAATTTGTAGTGTAGGTTACTATGTTGATCCTACATAACTTATTCTAGCTTCTAGAAAGGCCAATTTATCCATTCTTCTTGAGCCACGTTTTGACCTTGTTAATTATTCACTTATCAACTACGACCGTTCTTATGTAAGCGTATGTGCGTGCATATATTATCCTACTCATCACATGTCCGTAGCTTATTTTTGTGTGACTATAAATATTGATTAACGATTGACTAAACTGTTTTGGCTCACTCGCCTTCTCCACTGCACCTCATTTCGTTTTTCTCTCTTCCCTTTGCTTCCTTCGCTTCATTCCTCTGATTGTCTATGCAGATCAATGAGTGTACAAAATATACGCATTCAAAAATCTATTCCCGTATTTGACTTATTTAATTCCGTTATTCATCAACGTGATTTAAGTCAATAATTATAACAAGAATAGTCATGATGTACATTTCGACAGCATCATTCAATAACGATCATTTGTCCGGTCTAACTTCAGTTAGATCCTGGGCCATTAGAAACCTCTATTGAAGAAAAAACTACTATCTATTGGATAATTATGTTTATTACTTTTATTTACTATCACCTTGTGTCCATTAATTCATCTTTTTTTCATATATTCATTTTACTATTCTTAAAACGTTAATTTTGGACTAACCTACCCATAAAACTACGATTTCACTCACAGAGGGAGAGGGAAAGAGATAGGAAGAAAGAAAGAATCTACTTTAAACACTATAAACAATATGAAAAAGCTTTTAGTTAATAAAAGGAGACATTATGTCTATAATGTGCTTTTAGGATTTTACAAATTGCATTTCCATTGCGTAAAGATAAATTATTATTATTACTATTACTACTACTATAAATAAGATAAACATGTGATTTACATACGTTATGGATCTTAATTATTGAAGATTCTTGTTGAATATTTCGCAATCCACAATTAATATTATCTAATTTGATAAATATAATCATTTACACAGCGTTATAGAAGACGGAAAAAAGTAAGATGCTGAAATGTTGAATGTATCTATAGACTGAATTTGATGTAGGTTGTAAGTAAATAATCTTCTAATATGAGTTCGGTAACTTTTGTTGTTCTAATATAATACAAATCATGCGGATCTTTTCATCTAGATAGAGTTTGCCGTTTGAATTTAGGAGAATAAACATTCTAATAGTTTAAACCATAGTGTTTGAATCAAATTTGTAATATCGTTGCTGAATATTTATAAGAATTCTCGTCCGAACAACCATATACTTTGATATGAAATTCTGAATCTTTTTTATGCGAAATCATTAACTGTGGACTTCAGACATATTAACGGTAAAATATTTGTTACCTGTAAAGCTAAATCATCATTAAGCCATATCTCGTATTGATTAACGTTGGAAATGTGTACATTTCGATGCCATTGTATATGGTTCTAGTCGTTAGGCGTTTAATTCAAAATATGTAAGTTGTCAATTTAATTCCTGTAATACTGCTGAGTAATCAAGCACTAGAATGAAACAGTTGTTCGGTACTGCCTGTTTTCTAATGCTAGCCTTACCGAGATCACTCCCTGACAAATACGTTTTATTGGTTTTATGAGTTCGTTTGTAGAAATTCATTCATTTTTTGACATTATGAATTTGGATGTTTAATACGTAACAGCTGATGTTTTTTTTACCTTTTGTACATATGAACAGTTATTCGAATTAGTAACAAATCAGTTGGAAAGTATGTTATTTTACAGGTAACATCACATTCCAAACAAACGTTCATTACACATAACAATTTACGACCACACAAATAATATATCTAAATGTACTTCATTACTTAATTATTATATAATTACATATTTGAATCAAAATTAATCGTCAATCTTTCCATCTATTTATCTACTAATCTATATAACTATTAATATAAAGTTAAAAACATTGCCTTGAGGTTTCCTAAATATGTTTGATCTGTCGTCAATTTTAAGCTGAAAAATACAAAATATAACTTTTAAGACTTATATTATCATTCACTTGATGTTGTTTACTTGTATCTTCTCATTATTATTTAGAACTGCCATTGATCAGTCTCTTATTGGTATATGTGCATTCTGTGGGGATTGCCTCGATTAGGCCTTAAGCCACAAGCTGTTTAAGTAAAGATGGATAGCGGCTAGTGTTGGTTATATTGAGGCGGTCCGCACAGGATGCACATACGCCAGCTAAACTGATCAATTACAATTCTAAATAACAATTGGAAGATACAAGTAACACAACACCAAGTGAATTTAAACTTTACCCCGTTGCACAAGCAGGTGGCTCTCAGGACTCAGTAGCTAAGTGGATAACGCAATGGCGTTTGAAGCAAACAGTACTGGTTTTGAGTCTCAGAGTGTACATCAACTCCGAAATGCAAGTGCAACCAACTGACGAGTCGCAAATAGGAATAAACGCTCGTCCTATATTCCACTGCTAGCCCCTATTTATCTTTGCTTATACTATCATCATATAATGTTCTCCCGTCATTATTTGGTCAAGAAGTTGACAAATTATTGATTTTCATAACCAAAATATAATTGTTCTAAGAATTGTAAAAATGATCTAAAGAACCTAGATCATATTTTTTAGTCAACTTAATTAGTAAAAAAGGAATGGAGTAATAATTTTCAAAAGTTCAAACGAAGATATTTTAATAAAGGTATGTCTTATTTAGATAATCAGCCATTTCGGAAATTTTATATCTTGCTAAGTAATAAGTATAAATACCAGTAAACAAAATGAATTCCCACCTGAAGTTTGTGCTGATGATGTTGTTCAGGAGTGCACATCCACAATCTCGCCCAATGAGATTCAGACCCAGGACCTAACAATTTCGCGCATGTACGCTTAAACTTTAGGCCACAAATATAGTAAATCTTGTATTATAACAATTCAATAATTAATGTCTACTTTGAGGATAATGATGTTATATTAATCAGATTTACTACGCTCAAATGATTTTGAAATGGTGAAGATCTGTAGCTCAGGTGAACGATTTTGATGGAGATTTGTTATCTGAGCTGGATGGTTTGATTGTGGAACTTCCATCGTTCTTCTGAACGACATCATCAGCACAAACGTCAGGTAGATATAGTTCCAATTTGTGAAATATTTGACATTTTTATGTTAATTTTGATAATTTTTTAAATAATAAACCATGTTTGCTTGTGGTAATTAGTTTAATTAAAATAATTAATTTTTCTCAAAAACTCTCATTAGATGAGAACTAATGGTAACCAAGGTGCATTTGTTAGTTGTTTTGTACTAAGGTCTCTTGCCTTGTTTTAGTTAGTTATCTGAGGTTAATTAGTGAAAAAATCTACTTTTAAATAAAAGTGATCTTGACAGACATAATAATAGAAACAGCTGTATGGTAATGTCTCAAAATGTGCAATTAGTTGCTATGACTTCAAATCGCTGTGAGAACATCAGTTCATCCCTGGTTTCACGTATGCCTTAGTGATGAGTGTCAGCTGGTAAAAAGCCCTACATGCAGGTTTCCTGTTGAGTAATTCTAACCATTCTAATGTTTTCATATTCCAGTTAAAAACCGTGATCACTGTAGATAAATATAATATAGGAACTAGTAGTTTGATGAGCTGCTTAACATTGATTTGTACCACGCAACGTTCGTACATTGTACCACCTTGTGTTAGTTATTACAGACGTACCGCATAAGTTTGATTTCATGTATTTAAAGAGTGTAGGTGTTTTCAGGTTTAATTTTTTTTGTCAATTTTTATAGATCATGGGAATGTTCATTTAAGAGCAATTTTTCGACTCATATTTTAACCCTTTTGCGCCAGCTAGTGGTTATATGAACTCACTAGCTAAATGGATAATGAGATGGCATTTGAAGTGAACGGTACTTGTTTTGAGTCCCTGAGTTAATACCAACTCTGGGACGCAAGTACATTCCGCTGATGAGTCCCGAATAGGACGAAATGCACGTCGGGAATATCACTACAAACCACCATCTATCTCTGCCCACAATTTTTTTGGGTTACGTTTGTCAGAACATTTGAAAGTATGACTATCACCGTACCCCTAGATTTGAAAACCTACATCATAAATCACGTCTACACATACAAGCAAACATATCTATTTGCCATCCATACAAATGATGACAATATTCACAGATTCACCTATGTAAGATTGATATAATCAGAAAAAATTACTAATCAATAAAGAACTGACCTTTTACTGGCAAAATTATTAGTAACTCGTGTAGTCTGTTTTCTTGTACTGTTATTATTATTATTATTATTATTATTATTATTATCCATAGTTGTGGTCGTGGTAGTAGTGGTTGTAGTTGCTGAACCGGAACTATGTGTTGTAGTCACAGTTCTTGTTGTTATAGTTCTTGCAAATTCACAATCATTCTTTTTCATTGGCGTATTATTATTTTCAGTACTAATCATTTCATTTTCGTATGCATCTTGTCTATTTGATTCGTTGAAAGTCGTTTTATTTTTTTCATTTATACTTGACAAACTAAACGATTGATGACAATCTTTTAACCTTTTTACATTGTTACTAATTTCGGAGGTAACTTCACTGGCGGATCTAAGAAAAGTAAACAAGGAATTCATGTGAATCAATGTAGCCGGATTGATTTGTTGAGAAATAAACAAATTAATACTGAAAATCTACTTTAACATCAAAACACTTTTGATGAAACAATCTAATTATATGGATATAGAAGTTAAGCTCTGTATTTGATTCATAGATAACTATCAGTACGGAATTGGGGAGATTGTTGAGTTATTGATCGAGATCATGAATCAATCAATGTTAGACCACCACTGAAAGCCTAGAAGAACTAGACGGCCGTTTCGTCCTAGTATCAGACTCCTCAGCAATGCGCATCAACGATAACTCTCTATCCAGTTACATCTATAACCGATTAATAACTGAGTCAGTGTCGTGTCTGTCTCATCCTTTTCGTGGTGATGAAATTACATCCACCAATATTCAGTAAGGTCAACAGTCTAGGTGATTAAACAAAGTATACAATATTCTGAGATGTTAGGAGGCTGGCAGTGATCAACACGAAATTGTAGACCTGGATTTCGGACTATCTGATACTAGTCAGCAGGGTTTACCTATAATCGTGAGGGGACTTGTGCACATTGTAGAGGCTAATTTCCCCTATATCTGACTCCAATAAATAGTATCTTGTTAACTGAGTATTTAATGCAGGCTATATCTCCTAGTAGAATTATGGATTTACTCGCGATTATTCAAAAGCCTGAACACCAGTTACAGAGATAGTTTATTGTTAAAGATTGGTAGAACCCGCAAGCGTACAGGAAGCAAGCAAACATGGAAACCAAGAGTGTGTGTGTGAGTTTTAAAAATCCATATATATTTTTGAGTGTTAATCAAGTATGGTTAAATTATTGATTGTGTGTGTATTGCAACCAATGGGGGAATAGATTAAAAATGGATGTGCAGAAATGTGCTCACTCACACTGATAAGTCTTGCGGATTGAACGCTATATTCGTTACCTAAGCTATTCTGTAACCCCCAAGCTAGAACTGTACAGCGACATGAACACGAGAGAGAAGACGCAAAGTATGAGAGAAGTACTTTACTTCAAGGTTCATTTTTGTGCAGAAAAACACGGGTATTTATAGATGTTAACATTTGTTAAATCAACATCATATATTGGCCAATCCGCTAAAATACATATTGTGCTACTGGCCAATAGTAGCACGCCATGTTGACATTCTAGGAAGCTCCATCATGCTATGATTGGCTAGGACTCTTCGGCTCCTTTAGGGCCTCTGGAGGCTCCGTTGCAGTTCTCGGAAAGCCGACTTAACACCTCCTCCGAATAAGATTTCTTTCTAGGATCTACTTGTAGCTTGACAACTGGGTTGCGGTGGTGTTTCATTATTCTTGTCGTCTGCCTTGTCTGAGGCTTCTTTTTGGTGTCTTTGGGCATATGTAGCGTTGGTGAGTCTAAGATTAACTCCAACGGAAAATTTGGCCGGTTTTATCGAGTCTGCATCGTTTTTTTGTCCTTATGGATTTGACTCTTATGTCGTATACATGTTCCAAAAGTTCCTCGGGAGAGACTCTAATTTAGGGACGAGCCAATCAGAAGCGTTTGAGCGATTTCAAGTTCAACACGCGCTGCTAACATACGATCGGTTCACAGCGGATTTCAGAGAGTAGGTGATTAATGAGAGGTTACAACAGATAGAACGGCGAGACTCTAATTTAAGGACGAGCCAATCAGAAGCGTTTGAGTAATTTCAATTATTAGTCAATCAGAAGACAGCATAAAGTAAAAATAAATTAAAAGAAAGTAATAAATTACAGTGGATATTCTTCTTTGACATGATTTAAAATTTCGTATGTTAGCATCCTAACCCTAACCTTAAACCTTAACTCTAACCCTAAAAACTCGTATGTTAGCATCCTAACCCTAACCCTAACCCTTAACCCTCAACTAACCCTAACCCTTAACATTAACCCTAAACCCCCACCTAATCCTAACCCTAAACCTTAACCCTCAACTAACCCTACACCTTAACCTTAACCTTTACCCTAAACCCCCACCTAACCCTAACCCTAAACCTTAACCCCCAACTAACCCTAAACCCACACCTAACCCCAACCCTAACTAACTCTAATCCTAACCTAACCCTAAACTCTAACCTTAACTCTAAACCCTCACCTAACCCTAAACCTTAACCCTCAATCAACCCTAACCCTAACCTTACCCGTAAACCGAACTCTAACCAAATAGACGAGTTTCTATTCCATATGCATTGTGAATTCAGAACCTCTGAACCTTAATCAAACCTTAACAAGTTTTTAAATCATGTAAAAGAAGAATATCCGCTGTAATTCATTACTTTCATATAATATATTTTCACTTTATACTAACTTTCTTCTGATTGGCTAATAATTGTCAAGCTCACTTAAGATTCGTTCAAAGGTCGTCCTTAAATTAGAGTCTCGCCGTTCCTCAGACTCTTTATAGAACTTTTTCCGATTTTTGTACAACTCTTCCCGGCTCCCATCGGTTCTTCCCGAGATAGGATTTAATGAAAACTTCGTCGCCAATATTAAAGCTCCGGATATTTGGATTGTGACTGTGCCCATCCACTAATTGAATGGTAACATGGAGTTGAAAATGGTCCGAATATGCCTTCCGAACATGGCTTCCGCAGGAGACTTGCCGTCTGGAACATTCGGGTTCTGGGTGGATCTGTAGGATGTTAAAAATTTTGTGATCACCTGCCCAGTCGTACCTTCGCCTCCCCCTTTCAGTGATGCTCGTTTAAAGGTGTCCACAAAGCGTTCTGCTTGTCCGTTTGATTGTGGATGATAGGGTGGAGAACGAAGATGAGTTATTCCATTTACGCTACAGAAACGCTTAAACGATTCTTCGACGAACTGCGAGTCGTTATCAGTTACTAAGTTCTCTAGTAATCCGAAGCAGCTAAACAGGGTAGATAACGTGTGGATTGTTTCGGATGTCGTACAATTGGGCATGGTATATACGTCCGGCCATTTAGTAAATGCATCCACAATAATTAGAAATATTTTTCCTTAGATTGGACCAGCAAAATCTGCGTGAAGTCTTACCCACGGTCCTGCAGGCATAGGCCAATACTGAGGTTCGCATCTCAAAGGGTTTTTAGCAGCTTGAATGCATTGTCCATTGATGGCCAATAAGCATAACTATGAGCCAACGATTTCATTTTATTGGTTCCAGGATGGCCACTGTGAAACTGCTTGAGAACCTTGTGATGTAATAACTTCGGAATAACAATTCGATCACCGAACATAATACACGAGTCAACAACCATTAGTGGGTGCAGTCAATGAGAATATTGCAAAAGTTCTCCTTCAAGGCGATTGTTTGGCCATTCGATCGAGAGATAGCATTTGACTATGCTCAATGTCTTATCACATTCAGTGATCTTCTTGATATTTTCAAAGGTTACTGGGAGTCCATTGATTGCGTCATCCAATACGCGATGAACTTCTTTCTCAGTTTTTACATTTGCTACAAGCTTTCTCTGGGGTTTTTGATTGGGAGCCTATTGATCTTGATAATGCGTCAGCTTGCCCGAAGGCGATATTAGACTGATAAATGATCTTGAAATCGTAACCCAGAAGTGCGGTTGCCCATCGTTGAAGTCGGTTAGCTGTATGAACAGGAATTCCTTTCTTTGACCCCAAAACTGCAAGTAGTGGCTTATGGTCTGTTATCAGGGTAAAATTTCGACCATATATCATCTTGTGGAACTTTTTCACTGCAAAGATAATTGATAGGGTTTCTAACTCAATCTGACTATAGTTCTTTTCGGTCGTTGTCTGGCAGCGTGGGAGATAACTTTTTCAGGCCCATTAGGAAAAATCTGAAGTAACGACTATCGGTAGCGAGGGATCATAATGTGTCAATAAGAGATTAGAAGTTAGGAGTTGCTTGATTTTCTCGAAAGCTGCTCGACAGTCCACAGACCAATTCTATCTTGTATTCTTTTCTAGTAGATGGTTTAGTGGAGCACGTAGACGATGGAGATCGGGAAGGAAGGTGCCATAATGGCTGACCAATCCCAAGAACGATCGTAGGGTAGTAATGTCCCTGGGCCTAGGCATTGTTCTCACAGCTTCAATATTCTCAGGATCTGGTCGTATTCCGTCGTTATCTATTACGAATCCAAGATACCGTACTTGCTGCATATAGAAGTCACACTTTTCCGCTCGGAGGTGAAAACCATAATCGGCTATGCGTTCTAGTACCTGGTCCAGTTTCTTCTGTAGGTTCATTTTGTCTGCTGCCATAATTATTGGCGACGGGGACGAAAAAAATTCTGAACCTTCAATCTTCAAATTAACGAATCATTGTCAGCCTGTAATTAGACAAAATTCATTGTAATTATTTCGAGCAATCAGCATACAAAATTCTCGCCAGTGTCCTTCAACGACATTGATTGTTAATTAGTCATACAGTATTTTTCATTACCGTGTTGATTCAGAAAATGGCTATCTCTTCCGATCAATTACAGTTACTATTTGAGCGACGACAGCAGCGTTTCAAAAAGAGCCAGTTGAATGTTTCAGACAATTTACGCACACGGCTGCTAAGTCATCCATGTTTTGGAGATGTGACAGAAGTTGATAAATTAATTTATAATTTGCATACAGAGCTGGAAAATGACTGCAGAACGTATGAACGTGTCGATGAAACCTTCCGTGAATCCTTGATAAGTGGTAATGTAAACGGATTAGTGGCAGTCATTCATGATCCACCCAGTGGTCCATAAATATCCATTTCAGAGACATGCACTGTCATGGGTTCAAATTCCATTGTCCCCGAAACACCATGTACAACCAATGGATTGTCCAGCTCACAGAAAGACAATGTCTTATTAAATGCTCATGAACTTATTGCAGTACCAGCCCACAAAGAAACAGAAAATGAATCAAGCATCCTAATGAAGACAGTTGCACTAAATGGAGCTCATCATTCTACGACAACAGTTTCTGATGAATGCAATTATTGGGGTTCTCTAGTTGTTTTACCAGATATGAGTTATCGTAATGACAAATGTTTTTGATCAAATTTCTTACAAAAATGAGGAAATTTTGTCGGATGCATCAAACGTTGATCAAGAACCTAATAAAATTTTGATAGATGCTGATTATTCTAGTGATCGATTATCTACTAATGAAATTTTCAAGAGATCTGATGAAAACGTTTCACAAGAATCAAATCTTAATGATCTCATATCTAGTGTCGCTGATCCTCACCATCTAGTTAGTTCTAATGGACTCTCTACTCAATGCGGGAAATATGCTTTAAAATGAGTCAAACTAACTGTAACTTGGGAATATGAAGACCCAAAATTATTTCGTGGGGAAGGATGAAGTCATAAAATCTAAAGATGGATCTCAACATAGCGTCTTCAAAAAAGGAAGGGGAGGTGATATGATGGGAAGAAAAGTCAATTTTCGATTGATTTACTCATTATGAGTTTTGTTCAAGATTACTTTCGTTTTGATTCAGTGTAATGATTACCAATGTAGTATTTCTTTTCTTTTCTCGTATGATATTTTATTCTGTACCATATGCGATATTCATGTATTCCATTGACATAACTCTAAGTACTTTTCATATATGTGATTTCATCCTAATTACTAATTAAAATGGGTGTACAATCAATATATAAATGAGTGTATTTTCTACTAGGATCGTCGTCGTGTTTTGGGGTTAATAAATCATCACTTATACCAGTCTATGTGTTCTTACTTTTGCGTTGTGGGAATTGCAGAGGTCCCTCGTTCCTAGTATAAGTGATAAGCGTTTCCGACATAACAATCAGCGACCACCAGATAGAAAAAGTAACATTAAAAGAGCCAAGACAATAAGCATTCAAACGACAAATTATAACACACTCACAAAGAAATTGACATAGTGGATTAAGTGTCTAAATTACAGTGAGCAGATAAATAATACAGTAGTTGAATGAGCTTACTACAACATAAACTAACAAACATTCTGATTCTGTTGCTAGGAGAACTATTTAAATCATTGTTCTAATGGATAATTTTATTGCTGACATTGTTTATACAATATTGATGCTCTATATTTGGATTTCACTAAAACTTTCATTCCGCGTTTGTCTATTCAGTGCTTTATAATTTAACTAGTTTCTTGGTGTCAACAGAGTTGTCAAACTTTGAAATTGTAATACTGGATATCAAAATAGTTCACTCATTCTTTGTAATTTTACATTCGACCATTTAAATAAATAAATCAAGAGTTGTAATCTGAACATTAGATATAGACCTCACCGTTACAGACGTAATATATGAAAATGACAAGCATACTGGATTCAGGGTCCGAAAATAGCTCATTTGATAATGCTTATGTCTTAAACTTATATGAAATATTCCTAGTATATACAAAGATCCATTACAAAAAAGAGGTTAGGGGGAAACCTCAGTCTCTAACCAAATGAAAACGTAGCTTAAACCAATCGATTAGTTCCCCATTATTACGCCGGCACAGTCCGGGGTGGAGAGGAACATCTCTTCCTGTCGCAATGCTTTCATACTGTTGTGGATTTATAGCCTCTGGCGATGAAATTATGCCCACACCCTTTTCGTGACAGAAATGCAGTCTAAGAAAGTAACTGTAAAAGAACGAATGTCTAGTAATCAATTCAGGTTGGTTGACCCGGAGAGTTCATACAGGCTAATTTGAAAACCCTTCATCAAAACAAATCGCGCACATGGACCACAAGATTCTGAGGGGACAAATAGTGTATAAACCTATTCTTTTCACTTATTCTCAAGAGGCGGGAACTTTTAGTTTCACTACACCGTCATGTGGGCTAGAGTTTTTGGACAAAGGTCCCAGTTATAGACTCTTAAGAAAGACACTTACTTCTGTTTTGGATCCAGAGCGGTATTGTAACAATTATCAAAACAACAATTAGCTGATAGGCGAAAACGTCATTATCTCACATTATGATAGTTGATCTATCTGTGTTTATGAAATTAATACTTAGATGGTAAATACATTTCTTAAGTTTAGTGGTACATCCACCTTGTTGAAAAGTGCATGGAACAACTTACAGAAAGCCGTGTCTATACCTGTCGAACACGCTGTCTGTAACCATCGGACAATCACACACCCCAAACGTTCGAACATATTTGACTCTATGAGATAGCGAATAAACATAAATTGTCTTAATATTGGCTATACGCTTATTGCTTTCTGTCAACTACCATTCACCATATTTACTTACTTACGCATGCTACCCCTAATGAAGCTGTCATATCTTGAAAGTTCATTTATTGAGCACTAGAACACCAAAACCCTTCCAAGGCGCAATAAGAAGACAGAAGATCGACGAAAGGAATATTATTCCAAACAGTGTCAATCATAGTACAAAACTGTCAGGTATTTATAGTTTTTAGTGAGAACGATATCATCACTACAGTCCTCCAATCCGCATACAGGGGGTTATTAGCATTATCAAATCGGGAAGCTACACATAGAAATTCTAGAATATTGGATGGAACGTCTTCGGCTCCTTCTGAGCGTCTAACAGCTTCCTTGAGTTCACCCGTGGTCTGTCGTTACAGAAGCATAGGCCGCCGACCAGAATACTCCAACCATGATCAATCTTAAATCCTCTTAGCAGACAACATATTTATTGCATCTTGTAATATTTAACAATATTTCTAAATTCAATCTCTTACTTGACAAGAAATTAAAATACTTTATTCTTTAAGGGTTCTATGCATACCGACTATTTAGGTTTAATTGTATTTAAATGACTCTACTTGATGAAGATTTATAGCCTTTGAATTAACAAAATCCATAATAATGAATATGATTTATCCTATCTAGTATTTCTTCAGTCACTATCTACTGATAAAAAATTAGTTTAGAAAATGTGCATTTATTACAAAAATGTTAATAAATCTTTAGTTACTTACTCATTACTTGTGAAAATATTTGGATTCATAACTTCACTACCAGTTGCATAAAATGTAGCAGTAGCTGCTGTTGCACTTACTGTCTTCTTCATAGTTGTCTTTGTAAGAGCTTGTTGGGATGTTATACTATCAGGAGATTGCTTTAATTGTGCCATAGTATCTGGATCTATATCACTAATAGGTTTTACATTTTCTTGATAAATCACTTCAGTTTGTGGTGGAATAATAGCTAATGTCGCTTGCGCAAGCGAATTACCATCTGGTTTTTCAGAGTTATACTTTGTAAAATTAATGATATTTGGCATATCTGGATGATTCTTTGAGCAGGATGATGACTGATTGGATTCTGAATTGGTTGACAAATTTTTTAGTTTAACTTTACGTATTCTTGCTGTTGTCAGAACGGTACGTGTTGTTTTTTTCGTGGTACGCTTTAAACTACCATCTGGATTTGTAGTAGTGGTAACTATAGTATTAACTATTTGAGTTGGTGGCATTGCTGAAGTAATGATTTCTTCCCCTTCTTCAATAGTATCATCATCACTTTCATCAATATATGCACTAGTATCATTGAATTCCTCTTTTGATTTATTCTCGGATGTGTCAGTATCAATATTATTTTCAATTGACTGGTTTGATTCAAAATCTTAATTAATCAACAGAAAAAATAAGCAACGAATGAAGTACAGATATTCAATAATTAAATAATATATAATAGTACCCACTTGTATGAAAATTTAAATTTGTTAAACTCATTAATTGACTAGAGTGATTATATGAAATCGACATATAAAATTCTCTTCTGATATTAATCAACATATGCTCAATAGTCGCTGGCTTCAAGAGGTATTTCCTGGAGTTCTAGTGAGAAGCAGTGATGAGTGGACTTCATCCAGGTCTCTTGTGAGATTAGTTGAAGCTAGATATTAACAACGTCGGATGCTGGCCGCCTTAGTGGTCTAGTGGTTAAGCGTTCACGCGCGAGACTGATAGGTCCTGTGTTGGAATCTAGCGAGGCGGAATCGTGGATGCACACTACTGAGTAGTTCCACAATAGGACGAAACGACCGTCGGATGTTTCCAGGTTTTTCATGGGTGCTCTAGCTTCAATTGACTCATGATCTCAACTATTGAAATTACTATAATATCTACAAAATCCCTTTCTGGCATAAAAATCTATCATTTCTATAAACGAGATTGAATTGGAAATAATACTTGTATGTAATATTAAACGTTTTCAGTTGACCTTTCAATACTTTTGTTGTTGATACTTTAGTAAAACTTGTTATTTATACATCTATAAGATAATAAAGTTGTATATAACTGTATAATACCTAACAACTTACAAAGTTGTTCTTACTGAATCAATGGTACAACGTTATAGTTATTTCCCTAGATAATTAGAAAATTAATACTGTGTAATTAATCGTTCAATCATAATCAGATAATCCGTAAACTTTTATTTATGTATCAGATTACGAAAGTGAATTACATAAGACAATCACCTAAGAAATACTTTACTACTCTGTATAGTTAATTAAATTTGTTAGAAAGAATCCTTATTAAATATCCTAACTGTTCTAGAAACGGTTTCAGAATAAATGAAACATCATCGTTCTTATCACATTTCTATTATGAAGGATTAAGTAAAGCTTCATATCCGTACTAACTGTCTTGCAAATTCTATTCTACCATTACTTACATTTATAATAATTAGTCAGTTTATTAAGTTTAGTCTTAACTGAGAGATGGCGAAGATTTGTAGCTCAGATGGATGATTTTGATGGAGTTTTGTTCTCTGAGTTGAATGATTTGGTCGTGGAGCTTTCATCGTTCTTCTGAACGACATCATCAGCACAAACTTCAGATAGAAGTGAAGTGTTCGAATTTCTCCATATGCATTTCACAACTTGTTCTGTACACCTTGACGTTGATTGGTTCTTATTGACCTTAAATTTGTCATTGTTTACTACTTTGATGTCGTTCAGATGAACGATGTAAGCTCCACGACCAAACCATCCAACTCAGAGAACAAAACTCTATCAAAGTCTTAACTGTTGTAACATAGTTTACATCCTTGATTTTATTCACGGTCAAATCCAAGACCTTCAAACTACAGAATAAGCATGTTTACATTAAGACTAACTGATTAAAATCTAACAAGTCACTTCCCCAAATTCAATCTGTAGTTTTGATAGCTATTTAAGTATTTATAACCAGTAACTGAATTTGGATTCCTTGAATATTAATATGTTTCTTCATTTATAAAAATAGAAATGCGACAAGAATTATACTACAGTTGAAGATGTTACGTAATAACATATCATCATTAATTTGATCATAAATCATGAAAATACCTACTGCATGAACACAATATATTTATGCTTAACAGCTTATATTATATCATTTTGTTTATTGCGTTTAACAAGCACAAAGTGTGGTAACTTTTCGAAGAGGTAAATGAAAATACATAAAAGTTGGTTATAAAACTTTAAATTATTTAGATCACAAAACCAAATATGTTATTATGAATTACTGTATAGATTTCACTTTCTTTAAGAGTAAAATATACCCTGACAATCTATATGTAAACTTAAATTATTGTTGATAAAAATTACTTTCAGGAATATAAACAAAGATGAATGGTGGTTAACAGTGGAATCCAGGACATGAGTTTCTTCTTATTCAGGGGCTCATCATCTGGATGTACCTTGATTCCAAGAGTTGACATTCACTCTGGGACTCAAACCCAGTATCATTCGTTTCAAACATCATCACGTTATCCACTTAGCTACTGAGTCGTGATAGCTACGAAGCGCGCGTTCTGTATTCCACTGTTAGCCATCATCCATCTTTGCTAATAAAGCTTGTAACTTAAGATAATATAAAGGCAATCCGTACAGAATGCTCATATTGCCAACAAAAGACTGATCAATTGTAGTCCTTAATAACAATGGAAAGATACAAGCAAACAATACTTTCAAGATTGATTTTTTGATAGTAAATGATTGACAAGCAGTAATAACATATTTAAGAGAATTTGTAACTCGTTATACTCTCTGCATTTGGTTTTTTTCTCAATATGATGAACTCGGATTTTGAGGCAACATGATTAGCATAAAAGTTTTGTATTTACATCTTGTTACTTCAATATATTTAGGTATCAAATATTCATTTAGTCAAAAAGTTTGCTTACAAACTAGTTTGTTCACTTATGAAATCATTGAAGTTATTAATTAACTTTCCATTCAAGAGGAAGCAACTAATATATATTTAAGTTTAGAACCAACTGAAGCTTGGAAGATCTAGGTAATCAGCTTGATAAATATACATAAAAACCTGTTTTGAATCATTATATAGTTTAATGTAATATCTTCTAAAAATAATGTTTATAAATTAGGGATTTCCTTTAAACAAACATCTTTAAAATAACTCTTTCAAAGCCTTCAGAATGTAGACTATTGAATCAACTGTATGAGACATAATACTTATAGGGATCATTTTATTAATAAAATAATTTGACTATACATTATAAACAAAGATAGATAGGGGATAGCAGTGGAATACAGGACGCCCGTTTCGGCTTATTTGGAACTCGTTATCCGGATGTACCTGCATCTCACAGTTGATTATCACTCTGGGACTCGAACCTATATATATATATATATATATATATATATATATATATATATATATATATATGGGTACATATGCCAATAACAGACTGATCAACTGCAGTTCTAAACATCAATGGGAGGATTCAAGTAAAACAATACCAAGTGAAATAATATGACTATAAGTTACTTTATTCTATAAAACCAGGACAAATCCCCTTTCAGTAAGTCTACTTCATTAGTATTAAAGAAATCTATTTTATCACTAATGTAATACAGTCACTTTTGTAAAACATTTGGAAGCCATATGATGGTTTTTTTATAGTTCACCTAATTTAAATCAATTTTCTTTTTTTTCTCCTATTTTTTTTACTTTTTAAGTTTTGGATAAATGAAACATTGACATTTTACTATGATATTTAATTAGGTTACAATGACAAGTTGGCGACTAAGGTGAATAGAGGAAAACAAATATGTTTTATGTATGATAGAAAGAACATTCGAAAGATACATTAAAATTGAGTTTTGAAATATGGTTTGAATTTAGAAAAAAACACAGTATGTTACATATGTAAATACATATACAAAATAGTAACCTTTCTGTATCATCAAATAGAATGTAACTGAGGTAATCAGTTCATGTTTTCAGTGAAACTCGATCATTTCCATAAGCTTATACTAGATATACAAGGAGATCATGATTATTATTGATAAAACAATGATTCAATCTAGTGTACAGTCATCTTAAATCAATGAAATCTCTATTTCTGTACCTGTTAATACTAGGCTTTAATAAAAATGATATACATTTTAAAACAAATATCTCAATTCCTTTTTATTTTTAGATGTATTTGTGTTTTTTTGACAATACAACCGAAAGAACAACATTGATATGACAATATTATCAAAACATAATGATGACATTTAAATCTACAAAGATGACATAACTGCATGTCATGAAAAAGAAAACAGTAGGTCATTATAATGGAGTTGATGTATTCCGTCAAGTTGGTAAACATTGCTGTCTTTATGGTTCTTACATGATCATAAGAAAAGTATTATTAAAAGATTTAAGTAGAATGGAATATTTACAACAAACCTGAAGAAAAGCCAGTTGTTAGTAGTATTTACTGTTGATTTTCTTAAAGTTGATTATCATTGCTAGTGTTATCATTTACAATATTATGAATATAAAACTGGTACGTTTATGAAAATCGGAATATTCTCCATTTTAACTTGTAAAACTGTTTTGTCCCGTTGGAAATTTTACTAAAAATATATAGATATTTTTCCATATGGCAACATTCTGCAGGGTGATCGAGGAATTATCATAGAATTGTTTATCTTACATTAGTGAATTCGAAGAATAATTTTAAGAATGCAGACATAATTTTTAATTATGAGCTTTCATTTTTGTTCTGAGCATTATCATCAACGCTTGATTAAAGTAAATGTGAACTGATTAAATCCATTTCATAATTTATTCATTTGCCATTAAACCACGTAGATGATTAACATTCCCTATATGGAATGCATAGATATATATATCGGCGAAAACACAGTGACACATAAAAATTTTTAAAAATATAGACAAAGCCAATCGGTGACAAATGTCATTAGAATGGATGAATTTAGCTCTTGTAGAATAAAGTCAAACAATTATCGTCCAAATGAAGTACGTCCTTATGATGAAGTTTAAAATGTTAGTGAAAGCTATACTATGGTGCGTGCTACTTATATGGACGTAAGTAGCATATAACGCGAGTCAGGAATGTAATGTCTGGCAGCAGAAGATTGGGAAGATCAAGAATGGATGAACGGGAATAGAAGGCAATAAGTATAGAAATGCAAGAACAATGAAGTCCGAGACAATTATTGAACATTTTGCAAATTAGGTATTATAGTATGGTTTTTCTATTTTACCAAGTTGTCCTCACCTGTGTTCTCCTTCATGACAATAAGACTGATATATAATATTTATACCTCAGAACCACTAAAATCACTCACATGAACTAAAATAGCTTTTATCAAT